TGTACCTCGTGAAGTGCTTTTGTGCAACCAGGTGTTTGAAGTGGCCTCCATTGAGAGAGCCCTAATCACTGTCTCCACGTTGCAGTGTTGCCGCACCAAAGTCAGAGAATGGAAAACCAGCATCCGGATCTATGACAGGATAGGTGCACCGCTGGCAGTTCACCAAAGGGAGTTATCAGTGCAACCTGATTCTATATCAAATATGAATACACGTATCAATCACATCCGCACATTGCTGGTTGTGCAGTAGTCATCAGCTGGATTACTCATCGGAATTTCTTGGGGGCTGTGAACGTTTTAGACCGTTCCAAGGGTTTACGATTCGTTGAACTAGACACCAGTTTCCAGTGGACCGCGATTTTCAAACACCACCCTGGTGATTTGAGGGTTAGGTTTTCGCTAGTCGGAGGCTCCGCTGATGAATGCCCCATAAATTTGTACTTTGGCCTGGACAACCTGGCAGTATTTCGCCCACGAGAAAATCCTAGACCGATTGAGTTGTAAAGATAACTGAATCGTAATTTGTTTGGCGTACATTCTTGACTCAGATGCGTTTGAAACACAAGTAATCAATCTGTTAGCATCAGACTGTGCTTCTGTTCTCCATTCGCACTCTTGTCTACTCTAACTCCATGTTTTAAGAATTTGTCCATTATCAGTGATTAAAATCATGTTTAAACTATTCTCATTTTACAGAAACTAACTGCCGAAGTGAAAGAGAAGTCTCGTGAACTGGCGAAAACGGAGGAAGAACGAGATGACGTTATTGAACGGCACGCCCAATTACAAGCTCGTCACCGTGAAACCAAAGCAAAGTTTTCTGAGTTTGAAGCCGAAGATAGTCGTCTCCGAGATGAGCATGCACATGTGAAAGCAACTGGTCGTAAACTAACCAAGTCGCTTCAAACGGAACGTAACAAAGTGGAAGAATTGGAACGTCTACCTGGTGAGGCAGACGCTCGCCGCAGCGCTATACAGCGTCAACTAGCGTCGATCGAAGAGGCGAAGAAAAAGCACGAGGCAGCTTATCAAGTAAGTTGGTTGATTATCCCTTTATTGCTTGCGACTAGTGATAAATGCAGCTGTATTTTTGGTAAATTACTAAAAGGGTTATTTATGGTAGTAGTTCCTCAACTTATATGAAGTCGCGTGGTTTGATCTTTGTCAAGTTGTCTCTTCAACTACTTATTAAAAATATTCGTTTATTTAATCCATAATAGCGATGTTCACGGTCAGCTTGGTATGCGAACGCCTCAGCGTAGTCGGAGTGTCTGTGTTGTAAGTAGTCCCTTCCTTTGCACCTCGCAAGGTGCCTCTATAGGATCTAGCGTCCCAGTCAAGCATTTTTACTAAGAAAGCGTTACCCACTTCCTGGTATGGTACTTTCCCGTCAAAGTGCGGGGACGAAAAGCCAACATTGCCGACTATGATCGGGTCGGTGGCACATCTCAAGGCAGGCGGCATAAGGATCTGCATCCAAATCAACCGTGAATAGAGGTACGAGCCGCATCCATAGCTTGCTGTTTGTGGTAATGGTCATCGGCTCNTTTGGACGTTTGATATCGTTCCGATTCTTTGAACTTAACAATAGTTCCCAATAGATCACGGTTTTCACACCGCCTTGCGGTTTTGCGGGTCAGGTTTTGGCTAGTAGAAAGCTCCGGTTGCTTGGTGGCTGGGCACCCTAGCAGTACCTGTCCGCCAAACCCAGTGCGTATGCATTGCGAGTTTGGCAGCGATCATTGAAGTTCGCTTCTCTGTATTTCGCTGTACGATGATGATGATGATGATGATGATGATCCGGTTGCGGATATCCCCAGAAAGTTCACCTTCGGCTTGGACAACCTAACAGCATTCTGCGCGCGAGCAACATATGGGCTGATTTTACTGTGAAAATTTCCGTACCGTGATTTATTTCACTCACTCTGAACTCAGACAAGTGTGGAATGTAATGACGTCAATTTCATGGTTTTGGTGGGGGTAACAACTAGTAGCTAGTATCGTTCTTGACCCTCCTTACAAAGGATTCTGGCTGGCTAATAACTGGTTATGGCGAGTTTGTTTGCCCTAGTCTCCTAAAGTAAAAGCGGCATTTTTATTCACTACCGCTGATTTCATTTTGTTTTCGATGATCCTGATTCATCTGAGTCCTTTTGCTTAGCATGATATGTGACGAATTAAGTCACCTTAAATTAATAACACTGCATTACTACGGTTCTGAACGACGAGAACATTTCTGAAGGGGAACAAATGAGATGCGTCAATTGATAGCCGCCGTTGTACGAATTCTACTAAGTGACACTTGTTTTCGTTTGTTCGCCAAACTGGGCATTCCGTTTGTACCTCATTTATAAGCCTGCTCCTAAGAAGACCATCTAGCACGACAGAAAGTAGCCTATCGATTTTTATGCTATATAAATCCTCTATTTAACTGATTTTTCCTAATCGGTGCTGCTGGATACACAAACTTAGAAAAACGTTTGCTTCCTCCATAAAACTTACTCGATGATGGTTGACGTGTACTGCCGCCCAGTTATTATTGTTGAGTTGGTACGATGATTGTTCTCAACTAGTTGCTTTTTGAAGAATGCTTGCTGTTTTCTAAAGCTTAGATTATGCTACATCTCAGCCTTAATAAAAAGATTGTAATCCTCAGAACTGTTAGTTCCAAAACCGCAGTCCGGGAAAACGGTGTATTTCTAAACAGTCCTACGGAGTACTAGCTTTAGTTGGTTTTCTGCATGTGTACCATCTACCGCCTGATACGATCGATTCTCTCATCCCTTGGGGCTCAGTGAATCATTGGAATGCTATTTTTCAAAACCCGTAAATTCACAAAAGTAAGCAGACGGTACTCACCTCATCCGTAAGAATTTTTTTGTCAACCATTCGGATCGCTTGCGAATATAGATTATGCTCTGTTTTGTCCGTAGTGATCTATAAGACAAATGTACTATCAACACTTCGGTGTTTAGAACAGTTCACCAATGTAAACCACTGTGGTTCAAGTAGTTCACGCTCCTCGGTATTACTAATGAATTTTTTCAATCGTTTCATTCTTCGAGTGCAGTTCTGGATCATTTCAAGACCACAATCCAATTTTCTCTCCCTTTTAGGAAACAGTAAACAGCTTAGAGGTTGAGACCGCTCCTCTGCGCCTCAAAGTGGAGGCTGCTGAGAGTGCTCTTGCCCCACTCCAATCCGAAGCTGACGAGCTATCTAGTCGACTCACATTGGAACGGCAACAATTTGACTTGGTTATGGCTGGTCAAAGGAGGGAGCAAGAACGTGCTGATAAAGCTCGACAAGGCGCTCAGGATGCCCAAAAGAGGCTGACGGAGCGGGAGGCTGAACTAGCTGAAGCTCAGCAACGCCTGGCACCCGCATCAAGCGCGAATACGGGTCGGCGGCAGTCTAGTCAATCAGCTAGTCTTCAGGCTGCTTTGAATTCGGCCAATCGTGATCTAAATGAAGTGAAAACTCAGGAGGCGACCCTAAGCAAAGATCTAAATGAATTGCGTACAAAGGTGGCAGAATCGAAGTCCAGTATGCAGGTACGATTGTTTACTCTTTATTTCATTTTCTGATTAATAATACACTCACCGATTTTTTTCAACTGGATTCTTTAGAGTCATGTGATTCCACAAGCAAACTAAACTTATTTTAGAGAGGTGAATCGCAGTAATTGCCAGCTTGCTTTAAGTACTGTAGTATGGTACTGCGATTATCTAAAACTGGACGCCTGACCTTGCTATTGCTTGTCCGGTTCCTCCACTCTGTCTTTTGAGAGTGCACCTCTTGTCTTTGCAAAGCAGTGTTAACTGTAAAGCAATAGGGTGATGACTTTAAACTTATTTAGTGATGGGCCACATTCGCTCACGTAACGATGCTGTCAACTGGCATTTGTAGCTTTGTTATGGAGAGGTCGCTTAAGAAGCGAAAACCCATCGTGTCCTCGACTGTTTGTTCAGTAAAGTAGTGTCTATTTATTCATGGTTAAATACGTAAGTGGTCATCCTCCTCCAAGTGTAGTCGTGCCCGGTTATCTTACAACTCCGCTTGCTTTGTGCTGGTCTACGCCATCTGAGAGGTCACTATTCTACCCTCGTAGCTTATCCCACAATACGATTAAATTTATATAGAAAAACGACACATCCATCGTCAAATGGTCTTTCAACCAGAAAAAGACAACTAGTTTCGAAATGAACATAATGTGTAGTTGAACTGCAAAATGTATCGATCTGATGAACGTATGAATTGGCCCACTCAATATGTTCACGACTGTCTCCTTCGAATTTTGTGGTAAGACGGTCCAATTTTCACTTCACTTTTTCCTACATGCAAACTGGATGTAATGTTGGCAGGAGATAGTGTGCCGTCGGGGAAAATAATCGAACCATTGTAGGGAGCGGTGCTGCATAAAAGAAGACTATTTTCGATGGCTTATAATAGGGTTGGTCTTGTTTCATGCATCAGTTAAATTCACTTTGCTCTTAGAAGCATGAGTTCTCATAAAATGATTCATCATGTAATATTGACGTGTCACACAAGCTCCGAAAAGTGTTGCCAGCACGTTGCACAGCTGTTTATGATGAGTTGCTAGTCTCAGGACTCGGATCGCTGATTATATTGCCTATATAGTAGCTCCTTATAGTAATAGGTTTTACTTGTTTTTACTGTATATTTTGTGATGGTGGTCAAATAGATTTCGATAGCCTACTGAAACTACCTAGCTGTTTCAGAATTCAGTGTTAGTCTTTTGAACTACCCGAGCAATCATTCCGAAGTGTACATCCCCTCGTTCGGGCCTCTGGTTATTTTTATATTATCTATCCATTCTTATTATTCCCAACAATTCACAGGCTGATAACTCGCGCGGTCGTGTACTCGCCGCTCTGTTAGAAGCAAAGCGATCGGGACAGTTGCCTGGTGTACTTGGTCGTCTGGGTGATCTTGCCTCCATTCCACAAAAGTATGATGTGGCTATTTCGACGTCTTGTGCTGCTTTGGATAATATTGTCACCGACACCATGGATACGGCGCAAAAGGCAGTCACATTCCTTAAACAGAACAACCTTGGTTTGGCTACCTTCATCGGTAANGTAAGTTTCATAAACATCTCATAGATAAGTGACGGGTTTTCATGCCTTTGATAGTCATCGGCCAGACTTGTATGTTTGTTTAACAGAAAATATCTATTCCAGCGTTGCCTTTTTGCGTTGACCAGCATACGCTCATCGCGAGAGCCCCTTCAGTCTGCTCCTTGCATTTTGCGGTTCGACGAATATCTGACCACTGCGCTTGTCTTGGGTGATAGGTAATGATGGATCTTCTGGTGGAGAAATCTGCTATTATCTATTGGATAGTTGTCTGTGATTTGACCATAGTTTTCATTAAAATCTTACCTGTTTCCCTACCAAGACATGTGTGTCCTGCTTTGTCATTGTCTCTGTAACCAATAGACAAATAGGCTGGAACCAAGTGTGAGTATTTCGGTTCATTCAAACTGAGTAGTATTATTTTTCTTGTACACGACAAGAGGTCTACGCCCGAAAACCAACCTACTTCAAATTGCCTTTGGCAGGCATTCAGGTGTCCAAAACTATTGACGATAGGGAAGGTCCGTCTGAAAAGTGCGAACGAAGGTGCCTTGAGCAATAAACAGCGTTTTTCTTGAGATGAAATTGAATATCGGGGCGGCGCCACTCGTGTTGCAGGTTGATGAGAGATGCTCTAGGTTCCGCTATTCGCGATACAATCTCCTCAACACCACATCCAGCTGCTATCAAGCTCCGGGGATGTTTAAAACTTTCCACTATCTCCATCCCGTTACCAATAAGACTGAGTGCGGACACAGTGCACTCTGTGTTGAACATCGAGGTTCACTTTCTTTGTCTCCCTTCAGTTATGCCCAAACCCTATTCTTCCTGTACTTTGTCACTCAATTTGTGCGCTTTAAGAGCTTGGCAACGATCAGCCAAGTTCACGTCTCTGTATCTTGCTGTACGACGATGATGATGATGATGATGGTGATAATCAGTCTTTTATGAGTACTTTGGATTTGTATGGTGCAAAGCACATGATATATCCGAATGCCTCAATCGCTGACCGGTTCAAAACGTGATGGACTGCTGGTGCGTTATCTCTAAGGAAAGCAGTGCCATCGACACATTCTAGGTCAAGAAATCCGTTCCATAGGAAGCGTTCAACTACACCGTTTGCTAGACCGGACAACTCATTTTGTAGAACATGGTCTATGACAAAGACGAAAGGAAGTGGGTAGTAAAGGCCAACTTGTCACCCTCCGCTGGAGACGGCAAACAGTAGCAAAAGCTGCCATTATCCCAAACTATCTGAATTAAGACGTAATAGTTCTTCAAGGATTGACGTATACTTCTCAGGTACACAATTTCTTAGCAATCAGTTCCAAAGGGTGATCCCATTAATGAACGGGTCACGACGTTGAATCCAAACGGCCTTCATGTGGGTCTGCTCTTCACGTTTATTGCATAGCCTACGGTGAATGACGGGTGCTTTCGGGATCAGGCTGCACCTCTAAGGCTATCGCAGTTACTGCACTGGCCCTTCTTAAAATGGAGAAGCAGTTTACTTCCCTCACGTGGAGCTGACCGGACCAGTGTTCCAAAACTACAAGACCAGATTTCGCAGTTCTCTGAGGAGGTTTGTTCCACCATATTTAAATGTACATGGGAAAGCCATCAGTGCCTGGAACTTTGTGACGTTCTATACCTTGAATTTCTTTGCGGATTCTTGTCTCATTACTGTTTTTACCCAAGTATACGTTTGTGATCGATACCCCTTGTTATTACTGACTGTTGCCCATTCTTCACCGTTAGTTTTCTTTTAACCAACTAATTCCCACAAATACGAATTTCAATTTTTCTTCGAAAACGATAAATAATGAGTGTTTTTTCTCAAATTTTTGTTCTAGGCTTAGATAAGATGGAAAAGTTTGCAGAAAAAGCAAAGGCACCTTTCACTGTCCCACGCGGGGCATTTCGTGCCGAGCGTCTTTTCGATTTGATCGAATTGGAAGAAGAATCTATTCGACCGGCCTTTTATTTTGCTTTACGGGATACACTTGTTACCGACGATATGGACTCAGCTGTAAAAATCGCATTCCAACAGCGTCAACGTCATCGAGTGGTCACACTCCAGGTTGGTTTACCTCTCGTTTGTTTCATTTGAATGATCTGAAACAAACTGTAGGCTGTAGGCCGTATGACTTAAAAAAGGTAATCTGCAGAGCAGTAGTTGAAATAGCCTTGGATTTATTAATCCTTCGTTGCCGGATGCGAATCTCAATAAACCGGGTGAATTCACATATTGTTGATTACTTCTAGCAAATATTGATTCGTCTTTCCATTGTTTTGTTACGTTTTTAACCGTATAACGGATCCATGCCTCAGATCAATTTCAAGGTTATCTTTCGTATTTATGCATTTATCTAGTCCAGTTCAGTTTATGTCAACACCAACCTTGCACTTTCGCGCGGTAGTTTTGGTTGCCGTCTTTTGACAGTACTTTTATATAAACGAGTAAAGTAACGAGCTCTGAACCTAAGAACGGTACCAAGGAGAAAATAGATATAAGGACAGATGAAAAAGTTGGATAGACGCACGAGCGCCACTATTTGCGACACTCAGTCATATCGCTTGGTGTTTCTAACCATCAATTACGCTGATCCCAAGATTCTCTTCTAGGAAGCCTAATGCAGCCTACATGAGCAAGTCTGCTGGGCAGGGTTTTCATACTCTCATGGCGGGCCTTAGCTTGACCACCCTTACCACTTTTCCACTCATTACTTCGGCAAACATCGCACGCCATAGCAATTCATTTGATGATATGCTTAGCATGTTCCAGTCAACTTGGTCTACGGAACTCAATCACCTGCTCCAGTATGGCACGGCGATTATCTAAAAGTTAACACCTAACATCGGCTTTGCTTGCCCGGTTCCCCTACGAGACTCGTGCAGTGCGGCGTAGACAGTGGTTTCCGCACACTCGCGCTATATCAACATCCAAACCATCCAGAAATGTTTGTTATTTATCTGTATCTTTGCTTAGCAGTATAATGTCCGCCAGGGGAAATAACTTACCACCTGGGATCATTTCGATACCACGGTCTTTGCGTGAGGATAAACTTCGTTTCAGAAGGATATCTATTGCAAGGTAGGAAAAAAATTGGATCACCCTAACGAACACCGCTCTTCGTTTTAAACTCGGGCGAAATGGAACCTTAAGTTCGGACTCGGTTTTAATCATTATTGTAAAGCAAGGGCAGCACCAGTGTGCCGAGCGGTCCACTGAGTCGAAGGCGGCTTTTAGATCACGGGAAATAGAAGTTGTGGATCTAAGTGAATATCTGCGTTCATTGCGGGCCTTCGGAACTCTTCTGCGTAGGATGCACAGGAGAAGATTGCCTTCGTACCCTACGGTTTTCTTTCTCTGATCGACCATTCGCAGTATCGATAGTGGTCAACATCCCAGTGATTGCCTTAACGTATGCAACCATTTTGGCCTTTTGAACTTATTTACGATCCGTAAATCATCCTGATACCACTTCATTGGTAAGAAGTTATTTCAAAAACTCATGTTGACCAATAGTGACATAGGGACTTGTTTTGTCAAAGA